AATGAAGCAAGATGAGACACTGAGGTTTTGAGATCAGGGGTGGACACGAAGCAGGGATGGAGCTTTCAGGAGTGGCAGCATCAAGGGCATGCTGCCCTGACAGGCACAGGAGGCACCCCACCCAAATGAGTCAGCTTTAATTTCTTCCTGCCTTTTCGCCCAAGCTGCTACAGTTGTGGGTTAGCCAACATGCATCTATTGCAGTGATGGCGATAGAATGATGTGGAGGTGCTGGTGTTGGACTGGGGTGGACAAAGTTAGAAGTCACATGACACTAGGTTATAGTCCAACAGGTTTATTAGAAATCACAAGCTTTCAGAGCATTGTTCCTTCGTCAGGTGAAGTCAGCCTGACAAAGGAGCAACGCTTCGAAAGCTTTTGAGTTCAAATAAACCTGTTGCACTATAACCTGGTGTTGTGTAAGTTCTGATGAGGTAGAATGAGATGTTTAAGATCTACTTGTGTTCTGACCAAAAGTTTGGGAAGGATGTTAGAACAGTGATCTCAGAAAAAGACGTAATGTGTCTACTTCCCTCAGTGCTATTACTTTTACCAGAGCTTTGAGACTGTGGGCTCGAGCACTGCTCCAGCAAATTCAGCTTGGCTTAACCAGATGTAGCAGTGCAGTACTCAGCAAGTGCTGCAGTGCTTCAGAATCCATCCTTCAGAACAGATACTCAATTCCCAAGGGAAGTCCTAAGCTGCCTGTTTGGATGCTGCTTAAAGTATGAGAGGAGCCAGCATTCTTACTTCAGCTACCCCTAAAAACAGATAAACCAAACATTTACCCAGTTGCAGTTTGAGGGATCCCGCTGTCAGTAAAATGGCTGCAGCTTTTGCCAACATAACAACAGTGACTGCACCAAAAGGTAATTAGTTTGACACTAACTGCTGACTGTTGTGACTAAACACTATAAAAGTTCAAATCCTCTCTGTAAAGCTATGTATGATAAAAGTACTGTTCTGGGCACTGGACCCCAGCAGCAAACTGTAGCTGGGACTGAGCTGCTAACAGCTCAGTCTGGGAGCTGCAATCCATGTCACACTGCAGCAGTTCTGCTCCTCACACTCACATGCCACACTAAGCTGACAGGCTTTTTCCCCCAGAGGATGCTCTTCTCTGGTCAAAGCTAATTGCTCTATGTTCCAAATAGTGAGGTCGAGGCATCTGTCTCTGACTATAACTGAGGGAACTGTCTGATGAGCAAACTATTCTGCTCTGATCAAATTTTCTCCTCCCACCCCGCCTCCAGTCACGTTTCTCTGCTGCACTTACTGCATGTGGCCTACAGACTCGTGGCTTGTTATGTGTTTCTGCCTTCCTCACAACCAGTATCAGAAAACCCCTACGTCTCTGTCCTGTGCTGACTCTCCAAAAACCTGACAGTCTTTCAAAAATCCTCTCCTGCTCTCTGGTCACTCCTTACTCTCTCTCTCTCTGACATTCTTTATCATTTGCTCTATCCCACTCTCCAATAACCTCTAATAACTGGTCTGCTTTTCTTTCTCTCCTCAGACTGTTTTTTATGTTGTCATGAGGTGTGGGTGTTGGTGTGAAGGACAATACTTCTTGCCCATCCCTACTTGCTCTCGAACTGAATGGCCTGTTGGACCATTTCAGATGTCAGTTAAGAGTCAATTGCATTTCTCTGGGTCTGCAGTCTCCTGTAGCCCAGATCAGGTAAGGATGGCTGATTTCTTTCCCTAAAGGACATTACTGAGCCACACGGGTTTTTATGCAATTGAATGACAGTTCAGATACTGAGACTAGTTTTATACTGCAGGTTTATTAATTGTTAAGCAGCACCAGTTTATCTTGGATCTCTGGATTACCAGTCCAACGACATTGCCATTGCATTATCATTTCCCCTTCTAGTGCTTAGTCCATATCCCTCCGCTAAATCCTCTATTGTTCCTGCTCTGTATAACTGTCTCTCACACCATCTCTTCCATCCCTTACTCTTTAGGATGTTTACTCCCCTTAAGCTTGTTATTCAAAGGTCACTTGTTGCTCTAATTCCCAGATGCTACCATGCTTTCCTGAAGCCAGGCAATTCTCACTCTCTTCTTTTAGCGTCTTAGTGGTCTGAGGGCTATTCCTCACGGCTTTTCATACATTTCCAGGATATGGTATCACGATGGGGCAAGGAGAAGAGGCAAGCTGCCAGAATGACCTCAACTGGTTCAGGGATTAAATCCGTACCATCAACATTATTAAACATCAAGCTCTTGGCCAACTGAATTAAGCAGCATCCCAGGAAGTTCTGAGTTAGTTTGGAGCTAGTTGTGAAATATTGGCTTGAGTACTGTGTGCAGTGGAGGAGGTCTGCTAGGCTTCAGGACAATGATATCAGGACAATAAACATTTGGTTTTGTTTTAAAAAAACCAGCAATATTGTTTTGTCTCCACAATTTTCCAACAGATAATGGAAGAACTGCCTGGTCGGAGGAAGAGGCCAATCAGCCCTTCAAACCTGTTCTGATACTCCATCAGATCATGTCTTATCTGTATCTTAATGACACATGTTTGCTTTAGCTCTGTATCTCTTGATATCCTTACTCTCTGAGAATCTGTCATCCTGCACAACAAAATAGATTTAAATAGCATTTTCAACGTTGCAAAATGTTCTGGGGCATTTCACAAGCATTAGGTTATCAAAGAAAACGTGACTCAGAGTCACAGAAGGAGAAATGAACACAGATAATTGAAGGGGAAGGCTTCAGGGATCAGCTTAAAGAAGGGCAGAGATGTTGAGGCAGAGAAATTTAGTCAAGGTTACGTTAAAACAGAACTTTGTTTGAGTTGTGAACAATTATTATTTGCTGTTCCAGTGTGAATGCCAGGTGTGAAGGCCAGGTGTGAGGACCACCTGTGGAATCCAGGTGTAAGGCTTAGGGCCCTTAGTGTTGCTGCAAGCTCAAATCTTGAGGTTGCAACCTCAGAGACAGCAATGGTTGTTCTGTATCCCTATCTCCCTCCCCTTCACACTCTCAGTTGTCACTCAGGGGATACAACAAATTTTAAGCCTTGAAATACAGTCACAGTGGGAAAAAGTTTGGGAAGCACTGGATTAAAAAGATATCTTGTTAAGCTGAGACAAGGAAAAGGAGGCTCACATGGTAGCTGAGTGGTGTAATTATATGCTGTACATTTCATATAGTAGAATAATAACTCCTATTTAATCCTGCGTGGTTCATTTCTTTTTCAAGGGTAGCACTCGTAACTATTTGTTTGGCGTCAATATTAATTGACTGTCACCAACAACTGAAGTGGGTGGTTTAAGACCCAGAGGATGGTCACTTTCAACAGTGTGTGGAGAGTCCCTATACTGTAGTGTTGTGAATAAGCCCCTTCTCCTCTACAGTTGTGTGCAGCAATTCAGGACAGAGGGGCCCGGGTGCACAAGCTGAGTTTTGCTCCCCTGTTTATTTTCAATCAAACACTCTATATCCTCGACAGAGCTTTTGAAAAAATTAATGAGAACAAATCTTGGACAAAGTGTCGCACAGCCCCACCAGTGTGCTGAAAGCTCAGAGCATATCTGGCAGCAGTTTGTAGTGACTTGCACACTGCCCTCCATCTGGTAAGAGGAACTGTCCATTCTTACCTGCTTTTTACAACCTCAAGAGAGAGAAAAAGAGGGAAAAAAACACTTGCCTACAGTTATCTGTTCACTCCCAGCAGAAACATCTCTGGCCCTAATATCAGAATTCTGAAAAGAAGTTTATTTCATAATAAAACAGGTCAGATTTAAACCAACATCTTTAAGATTTCAAGAAAATCTTCAAGGGGATCAGAGGACACTGTGGGTTAGCAGAATGGAGGAAAGGGATTAAATGAATGGAGAATGCACTGATGAAGCAGAGATGGTAGGGTTAAATATGGAATCAAATAAGAGTATGAATAGATGCCATTCAGGAGTTTCTCACATTGTTCAAAGTCAACAAATCTCTCCTTGTGCTGCCCACTGATCGCCTGAGACCTGGATAATCTAACACCGGGGTCTCAGCACTACATCTATAGGCTGGTAATCTGTGAGGTCCACCAGAGCATTTGTTTGGACAGTGGCAAAGTGTGGAAAGTAAACTATTTTTGTTAGGGAATTAGTTTTGTAAAAGTACTGTAGTACCAATCTCTCTTTTTTATCTCGCTACCCAGAGCTGTTTCCCTTCTAGTGTCAAACAAAACAAAGATTAGTGATATTGCCCACAAAAAGCCGCCTCCATTCTCCCTGGTACCAGGTGAACTGGAATGTTAATATTCCTGTGCATGAACAAGCCCAGAGGAATAGTTCTGATGGCTGCACTGAAACTGCATTTTATAGAATTCAGACAACATACAGCTGGGTGGAAAGTAAACTGTAGGAGGATGCAGAGGTGTTTCGGTGTGATTTGGAGAAGTTGAGTAGGCAATTGCATAGCAGATGAATTTCAGAACTAGGGGGTATATTTTTAAGATGAGAGCAGAAAGATTTAAAAGTGATCCGAGGGGCAACTTTTTCACACAGAGGTTGGTTCATATATGGAATGAACTGTCAGAGGAAGTGGTAGATGCAGGTACAGTTACAACATTTATAAGACATCTGTATAGGTACATGAATAGGAAAGGTTTAGAGGGATATGGGCCAAATGCGGGCAAGTGGGACTAGTTTAGTTCGGGAAAGTTGGTTGGTGCAGATAAGTTGGGCCGAAGGGTCTGTTTCCGTGCTGTATGAGTCTATAAATCCACTGTGCCAACCCCTTTTCTAATTTTATACCTAAACTGGGCCAGCCTTCTCTTTTTAAAAGAGGAGACAGCCAGCCTGTCAATCCTTCCCCGATGGATCTAATATTCTTATAAATTGGTATAACAAAAATAAAGTAATATATTAGTGACTGTCTTACAATATGAGCCCTAGTTTTAGATTCCTGCATTTAAGTCTAACTGAATCTAGTAGTTATGATGTGAGAGTACCTGAGTTGGAGTAGCAGTAAACCTGGTTCACCAGCTAATAACTTACAGTCTGCTTCAATGATGGTACGAACAGATTTGGCTAGTTCTCTGGCATCAGTTGAAAGCGACGCTAGAGTTCTGGGTCCATTACGACCAACTCGGTCAAGGAGGTTTTGAGACGAAGGTGGTCCTGAAAATCTTCGGACTCCAATCCCACTGAACATGAAGAAGTAACAGAAAAGAAATCAGCATTAATTTCTCTATCGTAATTCACTTCTTGCAACTACTCCCACCTCACCCTTCCCCTCCCAGAAGGTAAACTAGTCTGGGGTTTATGGGTTCAAGAGAAAATATACAGCGGAATGAAACAAGACTTTTCAATAGAACATAGATACTGGAAACCTGAAATGAAATTAGAAAATGCAGGAACCACTCAAATCTGTGAAGACAGAGCGAGTTAGTATTTCAGGTCAAGGACCGTTCATCGGAACTGGAGAGTGTTAGATACTTCAGTGTTTGAAGCACCTATGGAGGCTAGGGAAGGAATGACTGGGAGTATCTATGATAGGATGGAGGGCGAATGGGCAGGGGCAAGGACAGGAATGACAGGCTCAATGCTGCTCGTGGTCCAGGTCCCTGTCACCACGTTGCCCCCAATCCCTAGGGGCGGTTATCGGGATCTCATGCACGCTCCTGTCTCCTCTGGAGAGCAGGTGTGAGAAAATGAAAAAAAATGATGGAACAAGGCAAAAGTCATCAGCCTGAAAACTTTATGCTGCTCCTTTCCCATTAAATATGAATTCAGAATTGTAATGCTGATGTCTAAAGGCTGAGATTAATCATGAATGAAGGAAGGTGAACTACCAAACAAATAACTGTTAGGTGGTTCCGTTTTATGTAGATTTTTATCATGTACTGCATTTTTTTTTCCACCATAGATCTTATTTTGGAATTAGTGAGCACTCTAGCAAGTGGAGTTTATGTTCAATATTTTCTAGAATCTGTGTTTCACCCCCTCCGGAAACCATTTTGAAAAAAGGTGTTCAAGATGCTTCACATAAGAGTAATCAAATTAAATGTGGTGCTGAGTCACTGGGGACATAGTGGGCGAGGTGATAAAATGCTCATTTAAGGAGGCAGATTTAATCGCGCATCTCAACGGAGGTGAGTCAGATGCAGAGACAGAGAGTTTGAGGGAGGGAATTTGAGCCATTAAGGCCAGCCAGCTTGCGTGAAGACCACTGAAGGTGGTACAATGAAAATCAGAGATGTGCCAGATCTGGTAGGGTGCAGAGATCTGGGAAACTTGCAACATCTATTTGGCTAATACCCAGGAAAGGATATACATGGCCTAAGGAGGAGTGAAATTAAGGCTCACTGGACTGGCACCTGGGATAATAGGATTGTTTCATGACAAGACATTCAGTAGACTGCCTTTAGTGCCTGAAGTTTAGAAGTAAAGTATAAAATTCTTAACTTGACAGGGCAAATAGCAAAAATATGATTCCACTAGAGAGAGTGCAGAAGAGTTTTACCAGAACATTGCCTGGGCTGGAGGGTCTGAGCTAGAAGGAAAGATCAAATAGGCTGGGTTTGTTTTCTTTGCAGCAGTGAAGGGAAAGAGGAGACCTGATTAGGGTGTTTAAGTTGATGAGGAGTATGAGTAGCATGGATAAGAAGGCACTTATTCCTTTAGTAGAAAGGTCAATAACTAGGGCACAGATTTAAGTTAAGAAGACAAATCTAAGAGGAGAGTTGAGAACAGCTTTTTTTTACTCAGAGGGTGGTGGGAGTTTGGAACTCATTGCCCGAAAGGGTGGTTGAATCAGAAACTCTTGTAATATTTAAGCTGTCCTTAGCCATTCATTTGTGTTGGCATGCACTTCAGAGTTTTGAACAAAAGGCCTCCCTTCTGTGTTGAAAACATCTATAAAGATGCTGATAAAATTCCAAAACTTGACTCACAGTCTCCGGATAGGGGCTGTCTATATAGGATTGAGATGAGGAGAAATTCTTTTACTCAAAGAATTGTGAATCTTTGGAATTCTCTACTCCCCTGGGAGTGCAGCACGGAGGGAGCACTGCACTGTCTGATGTGCCATTTTTAGACGAGATGTTGACCAAAGTTTTGCCTTCCCTCTCAAGTGAACATAAAAAATCCTATTTTTAAAATGAACAGGAGCCATCCTTGGAATCTTGGAACCAATATTTCACCCTGAACTAACATTGTTTAAAATAATTATCTTACCGTTTGTGGGATCTTGCAATGTACAAATTGGCTGCCATGTTCTCTCATTACCATAATGACTAAACATCAAAAAAAATACTTCATTGGCTTGAAAGCACGATGGGGCATCTTAAGTTGAGAAAGGCACAGTAAATAAAAGTCAACTCTATTACTGAATTTTTTCATATTTTCCTGCTATGCTAACGAAGGGCTAGGAAGCAGCATCTGCTCCCAATACCCGGTCACCTATTTATTTCTTCCCTGTCAATTCCCACCCCACTATCTCCTCTTCAGAAGGTGCTGGCTTTTGTTGGGAGTTAATTTTGTTCAGGGGTTAGTAAGCTCTGGTGATGTGGACTGACTGAAACTAACCTGGCACTGGTTGGAGACCAAATCTGTGACTTGGAAATAACTCTGCCATGGACACCCTGACATCACACAGTAACTATATGCTGGCAACCAGCAATGCAGAGGTCACCAGTCTCTGCTCCTGGATGGAATTCAAAACCTGAATTTTCCACACCACTCCAAATACATATTCCAGTCAAGGACAACAGCTGCCTGTAAAGCAGAAGGTAGGGCTCTGCTCAAACAGGTAAGAATGTCATCAGACTGACCTTCCAATGAACAGTTGTTAGATAATGTTCAGGTGCAGGAATCCCATCCTATCCCATGGACACAGACTAAGAAAGGCCATTGTATTAGCACAGACCCATACTTGAAACTGAGGTTCGGATCTGCATAGTTCAGTTAATGGGCTGTTTTTTCCAACTGAATTATTGAGGAAATCACTTGACACAAGAAGCAGGGAGAAGGTCTCTGGGTATTACAAGTCGAAGTTGGCAGGTAAAATTTCACTGAAAGGAAATCCAATAAATGAAGAGGTGTCCATGAAACAAACAAATGGCTTGCATTTTCATAGAGTCATTCATAACCTCATGAAGACCCAAAATGTTTTATCGTTAGCAAAGTTCTTTTGAAGTGTGCTCACTGTTGAAATGTAGTAAGACCAGCAGCCAATTTGTGCACAGAAAACTCACATAAACAAAGACAAAATAAGACATTTTGCTGAAGCTTTTCATCCTATACTCATCAGGACAATCCACAAGAAATATCAACTCAAGGGGAAAACCAACGTTTATACTACATGACAGGGGAATGCAGATTGGTTGGCAAGTGGACTCTGATGAGAAAAAGCGTTGCCATAGAGAATGCACCAATTTGTGATAATTGACAGTTAACTGCCCTGCTACGTTTACATTTTAAACCAGGCAGGTTGACTGTGTTTAGTCAGGGCACTGCCCTGAGAAATGAAGCAAGGAATGGCTGACACCTATTTTGTTGAGTTGAAACAGGTTCTTCAAGTTGAGAACCCATTAGTCCCAAAACATTAAAAAACCAACAGACTTGCAGGTACCGGAAATCAGAAACAAAAACAGAAATTGGTGGAAAATCTCAGCAGGTCTGGCAGCATCTGTGGAGAGAAATCAGAGTCAATGTTTCAGGTCCAGTGACCCTTCTTCAGAACCTGTTCTGATTTCTCTCCACAGATGCTGCCAAACCTTCCACAACATTATCTCTGTTTCTCTGTCTGCTGATGCTGTAAGACCTGTTGTGTTTCTCCTGTACTTTCTGCTTTTATATTGATCAACTTTAATTGGTGCTCTGCCAGCTCCTGAATTGGTATTCTTGTGGATTGTCCTAATCAGTGCAAAATGAAAAGCCTTTATTTTCCAGCAGTACCCAAGTCAGTACTCAAGATATTCTGCTTCAGTGATGTAATTTGAGAGATAAATATTGGGGAGAACTCCCCTTGCGCTTGTTCTGGTGCTCGTTTACATTCATCTAATAGGCAGATAGGGATTTGATTTAATGCCGCATCTTAAAGATGGCACCTCCAACTGTGCAGCACTCCCTCAGCACCGTACTGGAGTGTTGGGCTGTACTGTGTGCTCAAATCTCTGAATGGGAGCTTGAACACAAACCTTCTGAGTCACAGGCGAGAGTGATGACTTGACTGACACACAATCACATCATTAATACAGAGTACCTGATATTCCCAAACAGTATTGGTTTAAACTTAGAAGAAAATCATGAAGTCCTTTTGCTGCGAAAGGTTCTGGTTTTATCAACTGTCTTATTATTTTTGTCTGGAAACATTAAGATGGTTTTGCGCTGTGTGATATTAGTAACAGACACATTAATGAGTTTGAATGAGATTTCTCTGCCTGAGACTTCGATAAAATTACTAATGCAAACTGTACCATTTCAGCCCACATCTCTCACAGTTCCTTCTAGGCAAATTCTCAAACTGGCAGCTGGATCTAACAAGAAAGCAGACCGGAAGCTCGAATGAGCTGGAAGCACACTTTAACTAAATACTACTCACCTATGTTGCTTCCTCCTGATTCCTTACTTAACCAAATCTGGGTTTTCATTCATTTCCTCCAACTGAAGACTACAGGGTTTGATCATCAAATTGCTAGTCACATTCCCATTTCAGTACACGGGTAGTTCTAGTCATATTATTGTGTTTACATACCTAACATTAGTTAGAGCAGCTGGAGACTCAGCAAGAGCTTCATGCACCACCTGGAGATAAATAGAGAAACACATGTTCTAATCAGCATCAGGTTGGTACTACATTATACTAGGACAGGGCGATGTCACATTCAGTTGCACAGCAATTACAACACTGAAACATTCTGCCTAGCTGGTCCTTACTAGTGTTCATGGTCCACAAGAGTTTACTCCAAACCCTGTTCCATCTTATTTTTCCTGCACCGGATGATTTAATGAGTAAAGATCCAAGTCATTGTGGAACTAGACCATGAAGGACCAGTGAAAGGAGGCAGAGACCAGTGAAGGAGCCAGAGAGGGGCAGGGAAGGGGGCTGAAGAGGTCTGTAATTGAGAGTATCCCTGCTCTGTAACTGCGGATATCCCAGTCTGTAATTGAGAATATTCTTGGCCTGTAACTGGGAGTATCCCAATCTGTAACTGAGAGAATCTCTGGACTGTAATTGAGGATATCCCCAGTCTGGTAAATGTGCTGTACCTCCACAAACTGCAGCAATTTTTCAGTAGACGCTTCAAAGGTTTTCTTCGCAATCTCTGATTTCCGTAACTGACAGTCGAGAACAGCAATTCGCTTTCTTAGATCCTGGGTGTCATCCTGCAGGAAAGGCACCTGTTAAAATCACCTTGTCTTGAAACTTTATCTTGATCCTTAACCTGATGTTGGAAATCACCGCCCCTGGAGGCTCTAACCCATTGTTGGGTTGTGGCTCTAATAACCCACAAACAATCATTTTTCAAATTGAGATCCAGCCAGTGAGGGTTGGTGTCTCAGACAAGGAGGATGGTGTGGGGTGTGTGTGTGTGAGGGTGGGGTGTTTGTGAGGCTGGAATGGAAGACGATGGGATTTGAGGGCAATTAAATCCATTCAGAATCTCTTCCCAACAATGGCCTCTCTTTTCTGTCTCTCTAACCCAGCAACATCGTTTCGCCCTTTGTATAATCTTTTCATTGTCACAGTGGAACAGCAAACTATAAGTGGTGCTCACTCTTTGTGTTTGTCTGTACTGCCATCAGCCTCCGATCATTTCACCAAATTGCAATTGTCATAGGTGGAATGAAGGAACCAGTTATACAGTGATGTTTTTCCAACCTTTAATCCCGGGAATGAATCTCAGACAGAGCAGTGGATTGCATAATCAAGCCTGGAGGTTCATGTCACAAATTTACTGCACTTTTTGGTATTTCAGGGGCACAGTATCTGGTGCTAGGCTGAAAGCACACCCAGCCTCTTTCATCAAGTCGGAGTCTGTGCTGAGAGACAGTGAATGGTATTGACGTAAGGCTGAGTGCTTTTCTCAAAAAGCTCTGAAAATGTGCATGTCAGTAATAATTGATGTCTAAAACCCCCTATAGTTCACTAATAACATTGAGGGAAGGAATCCTGTCATCTTTACTTGGTCTGGAGTGTTTCAGTCTTGGCCTCCCGTCTCACATTATCCTCTGAAAAGCCAAATGAGCAATTCAGCTGCTAACAGCTGGACTTCAGCAGTTTAAAAAAATTGCTTCAACACTCCTGCATTCTCAGGGTTAAACATGCAATAAATATGGATCTTGTCACAGACACCCGCAGAGGAATAAATAAAATAAAATTATTTAGATTCCGTGGCTTTCATGATTTACAGAGAGCATGGATTTAAAACTACCACATTTGAACGGAAAGGCCCCTTGCTCCACATCAGAGCAGCTCACAATGGCTTGGGCACTCCTTTAAATGAGAGAAAGAAAACACAATAAGCCTGTTGGTGATTGTTTGGAAAACTGAATTGGGAGTGAACCAGTTAGACTATTGTACAGCTCTCTTGCCCTTGTGTTCACAGCTCACTCAAGTGATAGTGCCGTCACATTGAGTCTCTTGCTTGAATTCCTCTTGATAGCTGTGTAATACGTTGACAGGCTCTGACCTACTTTGCTGCAATGGGTAAAAAATGAACATATACAGAACACGGCGTGATGATCATGGTGTTGCTACGGTAATGAAGGGTGACTCTGCCTTGCCTTGGTCTGCCCTTGTCGATCTGCCTGTTGAGCTTTGAGCTCTGTAATCTCAGCCTCCAGCAGCTGGACCACCTCCTCATAGTCCATCTCCATGCCCTGTGCCTGCCGATGTGCTGCTTCAGCGAGCTGGATTCGATTCCGCAGAGCACGGCACTCCTCAACTACACTCTTAGCTTCCTGCGAGAAAGGATCAGAAAGGATGGGCAAAAAATGACAGAGTTGGTGGCATTTGAAATGGAATAGGCACATTGACTCTCACACACAAACAGGCATTCATTGACAACACAGACATGACTGACACACACACACACACACGCACACACACACACGCACACGCACACGTGCACACACACTCACACGCGCACGCACACGCGCACACACACACGCACACTCGCGCACACACACACACGCACGAACACGCACACACGCGCGCACTCCCACACACACATGCGCACACACACACGCACACGCACGCACACACACATACACACGCACACGCGCGTATACACACACACACACACACACTCACACACACACACACACAAAGACAAAACTGATACAAAAACACACAAGAACAGGGACAGAGTGACACACATTGCTGATGCTGACTGACACACAAATAGGCAATGGCATGTATGTCACACACAGACATTAATAATGCACAACCACACAGGCACTGACCAATGTGCACACACATAGGTACTGACAGATACACAACCTAACATGACTGACAAGGTTAATGTATAGATACAGACAGGCACTGACTGAATGTCAAATGCACACACAAAGCAACTGACTCACGCACACAAAGCCCTTGACAGAAACATAAAAACAAATAAGTATTGAATACGAAATGACCTGCTGACTGATGTACATGCTCACATGACTGATACACTAACTGACATTAGTGAGACACAAATAAACGCAGGCCTCTTACTGTCTGATACTGGCATAACTGACACACAAACACGCAGACACTCTCTCTCTCATCCACACAAAGGCATGACCCATTCACACACACACACGCATACTGCCATTGGCCGATAGACACACACAGATGTACATTCAGTTTATAATTCAGAACTCTAGCATCTGCAGTATTTTGCTTTTACTTGTTCTATCCTTCCCTAGATATGTAGACCAAAGCTATACAACACACCAGGAGTCAACCAACCTGCAAAATCTCTCAGTTTTAAAATCCAACCTTTTGCCATAAAAGTGGGCAGATACTTGTTCGCTGCATCTGCATTTCAACTTTCTGTGCTTCATACACAGGGACTTCAAAATCTGTCTAACGGTCAATCTGTTTTTGGAAGGATTTGTGTTTTTGGAAGGATTTGATGGTCAATAGTCAGTGACAGGAGGGTGTGTCTATGATTGAGGCAGCTATAGGGATCCAGGAGGTAGTGCTGAAGGAGCCTCAGGCCTTGAGCTTGTCCAACAGGTTTGAGATTCTTGCTCCCTGTGTGGACAAGAGTGGGGACTGTAGGGAGGACAAACAAACTGACCATAGCAC